GAAAAAAAACTATAAAACTGGTTTCCCAACAGGATGGTAAATAGCCAGTATTCAGAGAGACATTGAAAATTAGAAATAGGGGTCTAGCAGGAACAAAACTACAATTTCTAAGTAAACTAGGGGTATTCCATTCGGCCCAGGGGTGCGATTTTCGAAATCATTCGAGTACATTTCGTACACGAAATTTACATTGCTGTCAGTCAAATTTCGTGTACGAAATGTACTCGAATGGTTTCTAAAATCGCACCCCAGGACCCTTACCGCAATCCAATGTGGTCAACTTGGTATAAACTTCCGAGATTTTAAGATCAACCTTTGATACATTAATATTATTAGTTGAGCATTGACAAGTAAAATCATAGTTATCATCACAGTACGTGGATGCAAAAAAAATTCAGCGAAAAAATTTGATGTGTCAGCACCATTATCACAATTCCATTATGAGACATATTTCATAAGGAATAACATTGGTTTTACGTCTAGCATTAATAAATCTCCAAAATGACCTGGGGTCATGAGTAATATTATTTTCTGTTTCGCGAACATAAGTTTAATACCACTAGAAAGTTGTTTACATAGGGCTCTTAACCTGGAAAATTCTATGTAGTCAGAGTGACTGTCGTATTTTTTGTACTTAACAACACACAAGCTTTTTTTTACTTATATAATTTTTTCAATTCTAAAGAATACCATATAGGAAACTTACGCGACGATACTTTTTTTAAAGGGACATATAAATTAATTACTTGATATAAATATTCATAAAAATCGTTGACAGTTGAATCTAAAGATCTTGAATAAATTATCCCAATCAATATGAGAAAAAAACTCGTTAATGGAAAGGTAGTCAGCCCGATTAAAATCCCTATAGAATTCTTCACCATGCAAACCTGGATTGTTAAAATGGGTCCAAAATACAATTGATACTTCAAGTAGTGGGTGGTATGCTGTAGAAGTGTTTCTCTGGCCAAAGCTATAGATATGTACCTCCAGGTGCTGAGATAGCACCAAATCCAGAAGTCCGCCATGCACAGTGTGAATATCGTTCATTTGATAAAGGTTATGGAATACACACATGCCCGAAATCAATTCAATCGTCACAGCCTGCAGTCCCGGGGTATCCAAACCAGGAACCGCCGCCGCCCGCCGTAGGCGCGAGGTCGTCAGTCACCCAGTGAGCACCCGGAAGATTAAAATCACCCACTGATCTAGAAGGTGCATAGAGACTGCCAGTTATGCATTTTCCTCCACAAGAAAAATTCTACAGCTTAGACAATATATCTATAATTGGTTACATGTGGATCATCGATACCAGTGAAAAGTGTGCTGTGTTTTGTTGAATTTTTTTTTTGCTGTTGCCCTCTTTCAAAAATTGTGATTTTTTGAAGGCTAGTGCATCTATGATAATTGGGTAAGATGTGCATATTATCCAAAATAGCGAATATAAAGGAAACAATTTAAATATAAACACTTTTTTCCTGTTGTCCTTTATTTGCATATTGTACAGTAAACACCGATAGGAATCACGCTTTCTACCCCGTTGACTGCGGCAAAGTTACTTCCGCGGTGGCTTACTGGATTAAGGGCAGGCTGGTGGTCGGTGGATTAGCTATTCATATTCAAATTAAAGTGCGATTATAGTTATTTATGTATCAAGGGAAGTATGAGGGTGTTAATACCCCAGGGCAAACTTTGTGGCCCGAGGGACACCAATTGCCCGTATAATAGTTCAGTAGGAAATAAATTTGTTTATATCCTACTGAACTATTAAAACCATATAATACCTTGGTTACGATAATCATAAACAGGGTCTTAACTCCCAAGGGAGTTAAGGATTTTCATAACTCCCAAGGGAGTTAAGGAAGGGAGTTAAGAATATCATAACTCCCAAGGGAGTTAAGGATTTCCATAACTCCCGCTTTTACCTTGAATAGGTAACACTTTGACAAAAAATAGAAATTTTGATTTATGGCTTATTCCTTTATAAAAATAGACAGAATACAGTAAATTCAGTAGGATATAAAATTATCTATGTACCACGGGAATTATCAGGAGTTAATACCCACGGGCAATTGGTGTCCCTCGGGCCGAAGGCCCTCGGGACACAAACGTTGCCCTGGGGTATTAACACCTGCATAATTCCCTTGATACATAAATAACTATTTTGCAAACTACAAAATGGCCACCTGTTACCAATGCTAGGCACCCTGTACCCAAAAGGACAATAAGAACGAGCTATTTGAAGCCTCTTGTGACTCCTATCGCAATATGATTTGTAAAGAAGGCTCTAAACTTAGTTCATCGGAAGTTCGTGTTATGGTGTTGAAGTCAAGAAGTTTACGATAGGTCTGTTTCTGCAGAAATCACAAACCAGTTTGAGCGAATTTCATTGGTTGAAAACAGTCAGAAAACTAGTTTCAACCAATGAAATTCAATCTGACTGGTTTGTGATTTCTGCAGAAACAGACCCTATATTTCTGTCCTGACTGTGTGGAAGGTATCAAGGGTGCTCCTCGTCAACTGAAAAAACAAGATGGTATGCAACGTGAAATTCAAGTTCTAACTAAAAAACTCGAAGATCTCGCCTCCACTATGTCTGGAATGGATAACGCCTTGTCAACAAAGGATGAACCTTTGCCAACAAACGCAGGATAAACCAACACAACATGTAATATGATCTGGCAGCCTATGTTTTCCAGCCTTGTTAATTATATGAGCTTATTTTTGCGCCTGATGATGGGATTTACTAATCCTGAAACATGTAGGGCAGCTTAATATGAATAAAGTATTTGTGGAGGAATACTTAGAGCTTTTCTTTTGAATTACAATATATAACGTCTAAATTCCTCTCAATTTGTACTTAGCAACTACACTTCAGTAGCCACCTTCTCCAGGAGAGACTCTAGAGCTGGGGCTGTTGAAGTGTTTGTGCACCAGAAATTCTGCAAGCAGGCGCGGTCAATGGATGGTGTTCCATCTCTAGAAGAGAACTTTGAAACTATTGCGGCAATGATTGAAACCTTCAACAATACCCGTTTGATGGCTTGCGTATTGTACCGTCCTTCCGTTAAAAAATTTGATTGTTTTTGCCAGAATTTTGAAAAATTATTAGTGTTTTTAACTAAAACTAAACTACTGTTGTTTACATCTGGTGATTTTAATTATGACTTCAAGTGCAAGACCAAGGAAATTACAGGTATTAAGAACGTTTTCAGCTTGTATGGTCTTTCACAATCCTTCTTTGAACCGTTAAGGATCCAGGGTCTGTCTTGCACTGTACTACATAATGTTTTTTCCAACGCTAATATAACTTTCACAAGGACATTGCATTGGATCTGACTTTTTCAGATCACAGAGCACAATTAGTGCTGCATTTTAATTCGGGCAAAAGTGAGTGTAATAACTTAAAACTTAAAAAATGGCTTATATACTTCCATTTACTTGAACTGGAGGACAAATTTACTTACTTTTTTTTTCAATTTCTAATGAGCTATTTAACATAGCATTTCCCCTAAGAAACAAGAGAAGCAATCACAACAGGAAAAAACAAAATTCCTAAATAACCTCAGAGTTAATAAAGGAGGGTTCAGATCTGAGAAAACTTCATGTACAAGTGAAAAGATGAGGCAGCCATAAGCTCCAAATGCGATACAGGAATGAACTTAGAGCTGATTGCTGTGGCAAAAAAGTTCTATAACTCCAACAGGATACTAACATCGGACATCACTAAGACGGCTTGGGAGATCATCAAGTCTCATACAAATTACCCAAAGAACATTAAAAAGCCCCTATCTGAAAACATTGTGGTGAGATCACAAAAATTTGAACTCAGTGGGTATATTTTACGATTTTACTAAGGCCTTCGACGCTATAGACCACAACAGACTTGAATAAAATATCACACTAGGACCAGCGTACGACTGGGTTGCGACTTACCTATCTAAGTGATAGAACCCAATGTGTTAAATTAATAAATGGGGGAAATTCGACATTCTCAGACTGGACAAATGTTAGATTTGGTGTACCGCAGGGTTGTGTGTTGGGGCCTCTATCTTGTTCCTATTATTTATAAATTACTTGCCACTGTATGCGAATGACTGTTTTGTTACGCTGTGCGCAGATGACACTTCTACCGTTGTTGAAGATGTGGGGTATGAAGGGCTATGATGAAGGGTAAATTAGTGTGTCCACAGAGTTTCTGATTGGTGCAGGGCAAACGGGCTCTGTCTGAATTGCACCAAAACGAGTACTGTGCTATTTGCACCCATGAGAGTCTCCCAAGTCATAAGTCTGCTTATCAGGGATGGATCCAACAGTCGGACACTGTTAAATTTCTTGGAATTTCATGCGATCACCATCTGTCTTGGCATGATTAAGTTGATACCATTTGCAAAAGATTGTCAACAAATAACTTTGTCATATTACAGCTTAGAGATTATGTGGATCATAATACTTCAAAAGTTTTTTTATTATGCCGCAATAAACTCTATTCTGTCGTACGGTCTTTTTGTGTGGGGTAACTCCACAGATATTGCCAGGGTCCTGATTTCTCAAAAAAGAATAATCCTGATTCCGGACAATGTGTTGACTGTCGTTTGGAGAGTCCTGTCGCTAAACTTTTAAGGCTGAAAGTATACTTACGGTCATAATCCTGTACATTTTACAGAGTGCATGTAAAGTCTTTGGGAATCGACACAGTTACATCACATACAGGTACCAGACAAGAAACTCAGGCAACATTTACATACCCAATGCAAGACTGACCCAGATCTAGGATGGTCCTATGATAACATCTTTAAAAATCTACAACCACCTACCACAGGATCTAAGAAACATCAATTCTGTATGCGTTTTTCGGCGGAAGCTGAAGATCATTCTGGCAGCTAACTACTTTTATTCATTGCAAAGTACTTCTTGTTTGTTTTCTAAAGCAGCAGGACACTATATAATGTCTATGGAAATAAACTATTTGTATCTGTATTTGTACTTTTTTGTTTCAGTGACAATATCCGACCAAAAAGTTTAGCACACACAAACCACACTCTAGAACTGACCACGTTCGCTAATCCAATCCAGTGCATGTATTGCTGCAAGTACCTCAAAGGACTAATTTTCCAGGGATATTTGTGTCAAAAATGCAACTGCGCTGTTCACAAAGTCTGTGTCCAGTTTAGTGGAAAATGCGGGGTGTCGCCTTTGAGGCAAGAATTTAGTGTTTTCTGGTTTGTTTCTGACTGAAATTATTTTAGGTTGCAAGCAAATATACCCAATGGTATAAGCGAAAGAGACCCGCTAAGGAACAAGCTCTGGTACGTGGGCGAAATGGACCGGATGATAGCTAAAGAAAAACTCATTAGGAGAGAGAACGGGACGTTTCTAGTTAGACTGAGCACTGGGAATTCTACACATTCACATTCTATTAGCTTGAAGTATGGTTCATTATTTTTTGAAATTTCTTTGGATAATGGCAATTTTATTGTAGATGTGGTGGCTCTGTCAAACACATGAAGATAGAGTCGAGAATTGATGGGCCAGGTGATGCTAGGAAGTACTACTTGTCAGAGTCCAGATTTTTCAATAGTATAGAAGAAATGATTTTGAGATATGAAAACTATAGTTTAAAGGAAAATTTCGACAGGTACAGAGGATTTCTCATTTTCAATAGTCTTTTCAATCGCACTTTTTTTTCTAGTATGGCGGACGATACAAGACTACAATACCCATTCCACCAATTAAGAGCTGTAGCTTTGAGAAATTACGATGCTGTTGATAGGAGTCAATTGTCGTTCAAAGAAAATGAAGTCATTATTGTGATAGGAAAGGACGGTTATAGGGAAGGCTGGTGGAAAGGCCGAACAGAGGACAATCAAGTGAGTACTCTCCAATTTTCTAGAAATACTTTTAACCTAATATATTTTCAGATTGGATATTTCCCAGTGACCATCATCAAGCTAGAAGGTGAAGTCCGATTTGATTAAATTATGAAAAAACAAGAATCTTCAAGACTAGTCAAGCAGATCATGAGATGAAGCAGCCATTGTGACATTTAGATTTGTAGGGAACACTTTGATATGTTTTTATGTGGAGATATAATCCAGTATCAATTAGTGCATTGTCTTCAATTTTAATAATGGCAAGATATTAAGACTACTGACATCATTCCAATCATGGCAGCTGAGGTTTTATTTGAATCATGAGATTGTTTTCATCTACATACTTGTGTGAAATGACCAATTTTTCCACAAGAATGACAGATTGCATCTTTTGCTGCTAGTGTTTCACACACAATAAGTAATGAAATATACAAACAATGAATAAAAGGAGAATCTCAAATAAAAATATTTACTTTTCCTGTAACTGGGAGATTATTTCAGAAGGCTGAACCAGAAATAAAATGTTAAATAGGGCGTGACTGTATCAGTATTTTTATCAATGTAATGTTAATCAATCCAATATTTTCCAAGAGGAATTATTTATGGCCTATTCATGTTTTTTTGGTGCTGATTCAAGAGTTAGGTTACGAGATTAGGGTAAGATTTCCAACCGTCTGTTAACTTCCAAATAAGCAAATTTTATGGCCTAATAGTAATTACTTGAAGTTAATTTATGGTTGGATATTAACAATGCAAAGTAGTTAGTTGTCGGTTATTATACAACCGACAAAAAAGTTTATTTGTGCCATTTGTTAAGTTACTTTTTTACAAGATTATATTGATGTGTTGGTAAAGTGAAACGTAAAATGGGGCGTTTTAGATATGAAAATTTGTTGAAATTAAATATTAAGCATATCATTTTTTGTGATTATTTTTAAAAACGCCCTGTATATTATATTATCCCAGTGTAATTTGGGCCAGTTTCTTCATTGACAGTAAGTTACTGGTCAAATGTTCTATGTAATAAATGTGATTATTATTTTACTTTGCTTGTGAAATCATAGACTTAAGTACTACAATATCGGACAACTATGCTTTTGGGTGTATTGCCTTTATGAGCAGTAAATTAAATAATTATTTAAGTCTATGGTTAAATTGTTCACAGTGTAGCTAAAGATTATGGTGTCAAATTTAATTATCGAAGTAAGATTTTTAATAATTGTAAGGCTCATCGAAAATAGAGAACGAAATTTATAAAAAACAAAAATAGCAAAGCATACTTTGATGGTTCATTTTGAACCTCTAGTGTAAATATTCGTCCAAAAAAACGAATATAAATTATTTTATACCAGATAAAGTAGTAGAGCAGTATTTGAACTTACATTTTTTTAAAATCAATTTGTGATAATATGTAATGATTTTTAGATTTTTAAAGTTGCGTTGATTGTTTACCATTCCTGTCTTTGTTTGTTGCAAAAGATTTTTTTAGAGAGCTCAAATGTTTGCTCAGTTTTTAATTGATTAAAGTCTATGAAATATTCTATTGACGTACCATGTACTATTTATGTCATAGGAATTTTGCAACTGTACTTCTTGCAATTATTAATTGTTCAAGGTTTATACAAATTATATGTTGCAACAGCTAATAACTGGTTTTATTTTCATCTAAACGTGATTTGAATCTCGTAATGCTTAATATTACTGTATAACGTATGGCAAAGATAAAGTTCACATGAGTCGTAGGTAAATTATCCAAGTCAATAAAATGTATTTGGAAATTTGTTGATATTAAATATCTATTATATGAATGAATCAGGGTTGGCATACACAAAAACCCACCATCAATATTGACAAAAACCCAGTGGGCTTTGAACTGTTTGTGTCAAAAACCCACTCATACAGAAAGAACCGATCGAAAATCTAGCATGATCCAAATTTTTCTTATCCATATCCAGAGCCGTCCGGTACTCGGGTACATGTACAGGGTGGCCCAAATTTGAGCCTCATCATTGGGATCTCGGTAACCCTAAGAGATACAGGGTCGGTTAAATTATGGCAAAGTTGCGCAATTTTATGACCAATAGAATGCCGTTTTGACACTAGAAAGATTCCGAATACTTCCGAAGATATTCGGAAAAAAAACCGAAATTTTGAAAAATTGTTTTTATTTTTTCCCGGGCTTATTTGAAAAGCAATTTTGAAATAAATGTCGCATCATCATTGTCACTTTTTCGCCTTAAAAAGAACGTACTACTTAATTTAAAATTCGACGTTTCATCTTCAGGCGGCCATCCTCAACTTAAGTTTTTTTGAATACGGACTTAGATTTTTTTATGGACCTGCTTTTTTCACTGTGTTATTGAATAATTATAAACAGTATCGGTTCTAGGATGCCAAAAGATCACAAAATCGCAAATAAAAAGTCCAGGTCCGTATTTAAAAAAAGGAAGTTGAATATGGCCGCCGGAAGACGAAACGTCGAATTTTAAATTTAGTAGCACCATGTTCTCAAGGGGAAAAAGTGACATTTATTTTAAAATTGCTCTTCAAATAAGCCCAGGAAAAAATAAAAACGATTTTACAAAATTTCGTTTTTTTCCGAATATCGCCGGAAGTATTCGGAATCTTTCTAGTTTCAAAACGGTACTCTATTGCTCATAAAATTGCGCAACTTTTCCATAATTTAACTGCCCCTGTATCTCTTATGGTTACCGAGATCCCAATGATGAGGCTCGAATTTGGGCCACCCTGTACATACTCTAAGTACCTTTTGAGTTACTTTGTACTCAGGCCAAGATACTTTTTGAATCATGTATTTGTACCTGAACTATTTAAGAATATAAGAAATATCCGGTACCAACTTTTCATTGTACTGAGTAAATTCCAAATTACCCTAGTACAGTACTGTGTAAACATCTTATGGCTGTTTGCATCGATCATTTTAAGGCAGGTTTAATGATAATCAACGCTTAAGGTGACATTTTTACGTACAAATTTCAGTTTTAAACGTTGATTATCGTTAAACCTCCCTTAAAATGGTCGGTGCAAACGGCCATTAAACTGGCAATTTGAGGGTAAAGAAAGGACCACGCACGCACGGATATTATAAAAATAAAATTTCACGATTGTCATGAAATTAAAATATGTTATGCTTCTCGACCTCTTGAACGTAAGTTCTCGTAGGCCCAAAAAGAATCTATGAATAGTTCCGGAGATACAGGGCTGGGTTCCTGGAATACTCAAAATAAATAAATCATGCTTTAATTACAAAAAAGATCTAACAAAAAAACTCAGGCTGTTTATAATGTATTTAGGTCATGTATAGATACTATTGCTGGTCAAAAATTATAAGAATGTCCTAAAGCGATAAAAAAAAAAATACAACAAAAATTTCCAAAATGTCTGTTATACAATAATTCAATTTATAACCAAAAATTACATTATTTTGGCATTTTTCGACAAGTTTTTAACCTTAAGACGTGCCAAGACACTTCAGATATTGCTTCAGATATTAGAGCCTTCAGATGATATTATTCATATATTATTTGACATTTTTCCACCGGTTTTTAACCTAGAATATGTCATGCCATCTGTGGTCATATCTGAACATGCTGTGTCTGAAACATGCCTGAACCTTGATGTCATTAGGCCGGCATACACACACGTTATTTCGCGCGATTAATCGTGGCATGTTGGGATGTGGCGGCTAGCATGCGCGAAAGAACGGCGTGGCAAAAAAAACGTCATGTTCCATACACTTGACAAAGTATTCAAATGATTTAACATGTGATTACGTGGGGCATATCAGTCTCACGCACATGATTTTTCACAGGTTTTTGCAGATGACACGATAAACCGCGCGAAATAACGTGTGTGTATGCCGACCTAATGACGCCACATTCCAGGTGAAAGCACGTGTGAAATCCCTTCCCATTCTATCAATGCGCGCAGCCCTCCTCACTCACGCACAAGATTTTTCACAGCTTTTTGGCAGATGACACGATAAACCGCGCGAAATAACATGCGTGTATGCCGGCCTATATTGCCTGAACCCGACATATTTTGAAATTTTTATTTAAAAAAATTTACACTGAGATTCCATTCTCGACAGTTCATTAAATTTTGTATGTTACACCGAGAGCTTAAATTGGGGTGGATCATTTATATACTACCTACTTTTTTTTTATCGCAATAGGACATTCTATTAATTTTTGACCAGACTTTGGTATCGGTATAAGGCTTTCCACAGTAAACTACATGACCATAATAACATAAATACATTATAAAGTTTTTTTTTTCGATGTTATTTGTAATTAAAACACGATTTATTTATTTCGAGAATTCCAGGAACCCGCCCCTGGGCCCAGATCCCGAACTCATTGTCCCGAACCCACGATTCGATAGTTTCATATGTAATTTATATGGACGATACTATTGAATCGGGTGTTAGGGATCTGGGTCCTGTATCTCCGAAACTTATCATAGGATCTTCTTGGACCTACGAAAACTTATCTTCGGGAAGTCAAAAAGTATAAACATATTTCAATTTCATGACAATTGTGAAATATTTTTTTCCTAATAAGATCCGTGCATGGTACTTTCGAGAAATGGGGTGGAAGTGTGAAAGGGGACGTGACGCAATAACCCATGGGCATCAGTGATTAGTGCGCAGCTACTTACTTTGCTTTGTTATTAATAATTGTAATTAGTAATGGATAAGTACCTACTGCTAAAAGGTAATCAAAAAAAGGTGAATCACATTTTAGATTCATAAAAAACTCCTCTTCATGTTCCTAACAACTAACAACTCCAACCCCCTCCTACAAAATTTATTCATAAATGTACCTACTCGGTACTTCGAATACCTACTTGGGTATTGGATGCTTGTAATTGTACTCTGTACTCAAGAAGTGCATTTTGAGTCAAGTACTTGTACCCCCGTTACCCATAGCTCTGTCCATATCAAACAAAATAAAAATTCTAAGGAACTTTTCTCAAGTGTCAAGATAACTACTAGTGGTAACGTAACTAACAATAATAGAGAGTTCTCGTGCTGTCCAAATTTCAAATACCGTAACGTTATTTGACAAGTATGACAAGCGTTAGCGGAGCCCGCTATCAACGGGAGTTAGCGGATGCCCTACCGTAACGTTATGCTGTCAAAATTAGTTTACGCTCCATTTACCTCTGCAAGAATAGCAAATTCTAATAATTCCTCCATGAAAAACAGAAAGGAAAAATTAATGAAACTTTAGGAATCTAGAATAAATGAAAGTTGGCAAACTAGCAAAAAAAAGTTGGGTTAGATCACCCAATTTAGCTGTCAAGCTGTCAAAATGTGAACAGAATAAGGGATTCTTGTGTCTTCGTGTCCGAGAACTATAAAATACCAGGCCTATTCGGGTTTGGGAAAAGTACGGTTCTAGAACGGTCCAGAAGAATCGCACAGTTTATTATTGAAATTTGTGATAGTCGAGTCGTTGTTATTTTGTTGATCAATAAACTGGACGATTGTTTTGAACCGTTCTAGAACCGTCCTTTTTCCAAACCCGAATAGGCCTACCATTTAAAATACCGTATTGTTAGCGGTATCGTATTAACGTAGTGTCTGAGGCACGAGAACTTTCTATTGTACTAATCAATAATATGTCATTGGTAATAATAAACTAATAAAAAAAATTGAAGAAGCGGTGACGCAAAAACTGTCTCGGCGTCATTTTTGGAAAATTTTCTATGTTCGATAATTTCAATTTTGAAGCACCTACAGCCTTTATCTTTATAGGTAGAAGAAAGGTGTAAATGCAAAAGTTGTACGGTTTTGACTGAATTTTTAGAAACCATGGTCAGAAACAAAATTTGAATGTCAGAAATGTGAATTTTTGCATGCTTCCAGCTTTTATCAATTGGGATGCCCTATATTTTATTCTATATTCTTGAAGAGCACAATGCCCCGATTCCAAAAATATATAGTTTGTCTATATTTGATTAAACAGTCTCTAATATATTCGGCTCCAAAAATTATAACAATACTATCCTACTACTGATTTTGTAAACCATTCTACCTGTACAGGTAAAATCTGTAGGTAAAATTTGAGGTACTTGGTTTCTCCTCTGATACGTAGTATTTTTAAAATTTTCAGAACCAAATATGTTGGAGACGACTCAAGCAAATATAGACAAACTATATAGTTTTGGAATCGGGACATTGTGCAGGTCTTCAAGAATATAGAACCAAATATAGGTCATCCCATTTGAATAAAGCTGAAAGCATGCAACATTTCACATTTTTGTTTCTGACCATGGATTCTAAAAATTTAGCCAATACTGTACAACCTTTGTATTTACACCTTTCATCTACTTGTAAAGGTGAAGGCTGTAGGTGGGGTGTCAATACATAAAAAAACACCCTGTATTTGAACAATAACATTATGTAAAGTCAGGATTTGTAAGATTATCCACTTTTTGTCAATTCGCCTCAACAGAAATTAGTCGAGTCGTTTACTTTACCAAAGTAGTACCGTCAAACGGGGTGACTCTGGACTACGGGTTGACTTGGGACACTTGGGCGCGCGCTTCCATAAAAATTGGCAACAGGGGTGAGCAAGGTGGGAGGTCAACATAAATATTCTGGGGATTAGCATACACTTTGAGGTCTTTAATACACCTAATGCGGGCGGCACCGGGTGAGTCTTTACAGCGACAAAAAATTTGTTTTCAAAGTATAGAGAATCGGTGTTTTTTCAAACCGCTACAATTGTTGTCTGTAAATATATCAAGGTAAGTGATGACATGTATGTTTTATTTATTTTTTTGTCCGCTAATATGTTGTTAAAGATGTAATAAGGTCGTTTTTGCTCAGAAATTTTTATTTATTTTTTTGTGATAGAAAATCTGATTGAATGCACTTTTTAGGGTGACTCGGGACATGCCTCGTAAATATGTTAGGAGGCTTGGCGCAAGGCCATATCAAAATTACGACAAAAAAAGACTTGAAATGGCCGTTAGGGAAAGGTTAGCGAAACAAACAAGTTATAGAGAGTTAGAGGAACGGTATGGGGTATCCAGAAATACCATTAATCAGCATGTCATCAAACAAAATTTAAAAAAACCTGGGGGTCAATTGGCCTTAGCTGAAGCAGACGAAAAAAAAATAGTGAATTCTTTGTTGTGTGTTGCCGATTGGGGATTTCCCTTAGAACCAATGGATATACGGATTTTGGTAAAACAATACTATGACAGAATGGGTGTAAACATAAAAAGATTTACAAATAATATGCCAGGGCCGGACTGGATGAAATCATTTTTATTGCGCCACAAAAATAATTTGGCTTTAAGACTTTCCGAAAACATTAAACGAGCAAGGGCTGCAGTTGACAGGCAAGCAATAAATGTCTATTTTGATGAACTAAACTTATCTCTAGAAAACATTCCTCTTGCGAACATCGTGAACTATGATGAGACAAACTTCACGGACGATCCGGGCCGTCAGCGTGTCGTTATTCGCAGAAGCAACAAACATGCAGACCGTATTCTTGATTCCAGTAAAACATCAACATCAGTCATGTTTGCAATTAGTGGATCTGGTGTAATGTTGCCGCCATACGTGGTGTTCAAATCAGAACATCTCTATGAAAACTGGATAAGAAATGGACCACAGGGTTCTAGATATGGAAATACAAAAAGTGGATGGTTCGATTCAAATCAATTTGAACAGTGGTTTTTGACTATAGCATTAGGCTACTTCCGAAGACTTGAGGGGCCTAAGGTTGTAATAGGCGATAACCTGAGTAGCCACATCTCCCAAAATGTCATCATGGAATGTCAAAAAAATAATATCAGATTCGTTTTGCTACCTCCCAATAGCACCCACCTTACACAACCTCTGGATACAGCATTTTTTAAACCACTCAAGCAATCGTGGAGAAAAATTTTGTTAGAGTGGAAGAAAAAAAATAAAGGAGTACTCCCAAAACCTGAGTTTCCAGGCTTATTAAACAAAGCTTTGGATAATATTGGAGACAAGCTAGAAGACAACATAAAGGCTGGATTTCGTTGTTGTGGTCTTATTCCACTCGACAGGGATCAGGTCTTGAAACGTCTACCCCCAGAGCCTGTTCGAGAAGATGAGGGCCAACTAGCTTGGACCGAAACGCTCACAGACTTTTTAAAGAACCAGCGAACTCCAACAAACCCAGCAAAGAAAGGTAAAGGAAAGAAAATTCTAGTAACACCCGGTAGAAGTGTGACATGTGAAAGAAGTTCTGACTCCGATTCTGACAATAGTGAAATGGAGATGGAATTAAATAGAAGTGAATCTGATGATAATGGGAGCATACAAGACATAGAGTCTGAGGGAGAAGAAAGAAATCAAAATGAAGATGTGGAAAACCTGGAAGAAGAGCCAGAGGAAGTGACTGATTTGCACATTGAAGATTTTGCAATTGTAAAATTTACAGACGGAAAGTTTTCGAAAAATTTTGTGGGAAAAATTTTAGACAAATCTGGTGACCAAATAAGAATCACTTTTTTAAGAGAACATTCGAAAATAGAAAATGGCTTTGCTTTTCCAATAGTTCCCGATGAATCCACAGTAAACATTTCCCAGGTTTTGAAAATACTTCCAAGACCTGTGGAACTGCGAAGAGGTGCAGTTAAATTTCCATTCCAAATAAATTTGAAAAATTAGGTAGACCCATTATTGTTATCGAAAGAAATGACCTTTTTTTTTATAATTTCTTGTGTAGAAATTTTTTTATTTTGTTCAAAAATCAATAAAAATAATGTTTACTTTTTTAAAAATTTCTATTTTTGTCCCGTCTCACTCCAGAAACGCCTTACAATGGTTTCTAGTGCTAAATAAGTGCTTGTCCCTAGTCACCCCGAAAACGGGGTGAAACGGGACAATTTTCAAAATTTAAAAAAAAATATTTAAGATTTTCGAAAAAATATTATTTTTAGCATACGTGTTCCCAAAATATGTAGAAACATGTAGCCACCTTAAAATTGCCATTTACTAATTCTGGTCATGAAATATTCACAAAAAAGTGTCAAATCCGTCCTTAGTCACCCCGTTTGACGGTAACATAATGTGACAAGTTATTCAAGTACAAATGAGTGAATTGTTGCAGAACTTATCGGTGGACCTCTGCGGGACGAGCGCAGCGAGTTCCGCAGCCATCTATTCATTAATATGCTGTTTAATTATGATACTAACCTGACTCACTCAAATGTGAGTTATTCTCATTATTTTAAAAACTATACGTTTCAGGTGAATGTCTTACTTGAACAGTTCAACAGTATATTGGCGAGTAGATGGCTGCGGAACACGCTGCGCAAGTCCCGCAGAGGTCCACCCATAAGTTCCGCAACAATCCACTTATTTGTACTTGGAAAATAACTTACTATATGAAGTTAGAATTTGTAAGATTATCCACTTTTTGTCAATTCGCCTCAACAGAAATTAGTCGAGTCGTTACTTTACCAAAGTTATTCAAGTACAAATGAGTGAATTGTTGCAGAACTTATCGGTGGACCTCTGCGGGACGAGCGCAGCGAGTTCCGCAGCCATCTATTCATTAATATGCTGTTTAATTATGATACTAACCTGAATCACTCAAATGTGAGTTATTCTCATTATTTTAAAAACTATACGTTTCAGGTGAATGTCTTACTTGAACAGTTCCACAGTATATTGGTGAGTAGATGGCTGCGGAACTCGCTGCGCTCGTCCCGCAGAGGTCCACCCATAAGTTCCGCAACAATCCACTTATTTGTACTTGAAAAATAACTTACTATATGAAGTTAGAATTTGTAAGATTATCCACTTTTCGTCAATTCGCCTCAACAGAAATTAGTCGAGTCGTTACTTTACCAAAGTTATTCAAGTACAAATGAGTGAATTGTTGCAGAACTTATCGGTGGACCTCTGCGGGACGAGCGCAGCGAGTTCCGCAGCCATCTATTCATTAATATGCTGTTTAATTATGATACTAACCTGAATCACTCAAATGTGAGTTATTCTCATTATTTTAAAAACTATACGTTTCAGGTGAATGTCTTACTTGAACAGTTCAACAGTATATTGGCGAGTAGATGGCTGCGGAACACGCTGCGCAAGTCCCGCAGAGGTCCACCCATAAGTTCCGCAACAATCCACTTATTTGTACTTGGAAAATAACTTACTATATGAAGTCAGGATTTGTAAGATTATCCTTTTTTGTCAATTCGCCTTTTTCAACATGAATTAGTAATGTTACTTTACCAAACTAGTAATATATTGTGACAAGTTATTATTCAAGTACAAAAGAGTGGATTGTTGTGGAACGATACTAACCTGACACACTCACATAAATATACAATTTTCTCTAGTTAAATAAACACAAAACCCCTAGAAAAACTACCACAATTACCTGCAAAAACCCAGGTTTTTGTCTACCCTGGAACAAATACAATGAACAAGTATAGAACGCAAATACTTTATTTCAAATAAACGTTATAATTGTATATAAATAAATATTGTAAATATAACTTTGGGTTCCAGGAAATCAAGCAAACAGATTCTAGAACCCACCCTAAATACCTTACTATTTATATTTATGGAAACATTATTATAAGCCACAAACTAATATAGCTTGCTAATGAGAAAAAGGATTCCAAACAATTATTGGGGACCACTAAAATGTTGACCAGAACCCATAATATTGAAAAATCCATATGTATTATTAAGACCTTAATAGACTAGATAAATATTGTAGATATGATATCTTCTTGGGTACTACTTAAAAAAATTTAGATTTAGATACTGGTTTCTTAACATACAAAATTATATTTTTGTACAAATAGCTTAACCTAAATACCTAATTTGTATAAACAGCCATTAATAAATCAGTCTTGACGATGAAAGTCCCTCAAGGCAATTTTAATTATAATACCTAGGAGGATTGCTTGGGGCCTGTTGCCAGAAGTTCAAATTGAGCCTCGGTATTTCTTCAGAAGCACAATCATATAGAGGATTGCTAGTGCTTAGTTTTTCAAATGCTTTCCTTTGCATTCTCTCCACTCCGTCACTGTTGTCGCAAATAATCCTGGCCAGCGACACTTTTTCAATTTCGCCCAACTGCTCCTTGGTAAACGGTTTCGGCTGTTTCAGGTTGTCGTAAAAGTATCTATCGCCCTGGCGGGTTCTCGTCATTTGAGTAGCGAGGATGCAGGAAAAAGTTGGACCGAACAATGAATCTCCTCTGGGTTTTTCCAAGAGACCGCCAATGATCAAATCTACATCTTTCGGACTGGCGTAGACGTGTTGTAGGGCGACGATATCCTGAAATAAATTTCATTTGAAGGAAAGTAGAACCTAACTAAAATTAGGAGATTGTGCTGTGTGGAATTATAGTGTATAAACATATGGGATTCCAGTGGGATTCCGTGGAATTCCAGTGGAATTCCTTAGTGTGCTTGATGAGTCGATGTTCTAGTTTAAACCAATGTAGTGGCGGCTAAATTGAAAAACAATACTTTTTTGTCCAGGAGTCGATTCAAATCAAATCAAAAATAGCTTTATTGATATAAGAATATCTACATCTCGTTATCAAAGCAAATCTAAATCTTTGCTTGGTATCGTTCAAAATAATTCTAATAATTCAAAACAAATTCCATGGAATTCCTTTAGGATACCGTGAGATTCCAGTAGGATATCATGAGATTCCAGTAGGATTTCGTGAGATTCTGGTCTACCAATTTTTGAAGGTATGCTTCACCCCTCAGGCAAGTATGAGGAAATTCAATTTATGCAAGTATGAAAAAGTCCAGAGAAGTATAGACAAAGCTTGGGTTTTGATCGAATGATGAGCATTGTACATGATGTGAGATTAAATGTGGACTTCACGAAAAAAGATGACTATCCAGAAAAACCTTTATGCTCACCTGTTGTCTCATAATATCAATAAAATCAACAAAACTCTCAGCCTTCTTATGTCCACAAAACTGCCTGTAATCGACATAACCAGGAAGTCCGTGGTCCCTGCCCCTTTGCACATCAAAACTAAGCACGTCAAATCCAAATTTGCCATTCGTATACAATTTATTGATCAACTAAAACAAATTTCCAAATAAATTTCCACATACTTTTAAACCAAAGGCTACTTACATCATCAGCAAAATAAATATCCAAGCTCTGGCTAGCCTGGGTGCTCAGTCCTCTGGCGAGAGCGTCCAAAACGCCCGCCTGTCTCAACAAACCAGGATTGTGGAAATAGTTACGCATAAAAATGGATTCGTTAACTGTACGGGCTTCATCGAAAAGCTTAGGCATACCGTCGGACATTGATTTCACTGAGCGCATCACTGCTGTGGCAAAAGCGTTGGAAACTGATGCGTCAGCGTGCTTATTATAGAACGACGAAGAGATTACTTTTTTGTGTACAGATTTACCCAAAACTGCTGGCAACCATTCATAATAAGTGATTTTAGCCATTTCAGCAATAACAATTCTTCTAGTTTCCTGGAATATCTGTTCATCGTTCCAATCTGGATTGAGTTTACCCAAATCTGTTGCAATCCTATTGTGTTCTCGATACCATAACGTATGCATTAGAGCCAACTGGGGCTGGAAATTTACCCTAGCATCTCCACTCTCGAAGCAAGTAGAATTTTTTGAAAACAACTGGCAATTGTGCGTGGGGTCGGCAGCTAAAGGCAAATATTGTCTGTTTTCATAAGTAGATGTAGCCAATTTTCCATCATTAAAAGCACGAAGTTGATCAGATTTTCTTTCAGTTGAACCGTAAATTTGGGAACCGTCCAAATAGTGAGTGGCTTGATTGACCTGATCTGAAGCGCCAAAAGTACAATCCGACCTGATTGCCGGAATAGATCTGACATAATTCAGGCAAGTCACTCCTTCTTTGGCGTATTTTTTGTCATCGTATACTGGAATAGGCGAACAGAAAGGATGAACATATCTCGGAGACAATTTGTCGCCGTCCTTGCTGCAGCATTCTATAGGACTATCAGTGTGAACTGATAAAATTTTGAATTAGAAAATGCTTATTTTGGTTAGTTCAATTACTTACTTGCCACTGCTGTAGCGGATCGACTCAGGTCATGCTCCAAAAATTGAGACCACTGCATCACAGCTAGAGTGAATCTTTTCGAAGGTTTACTGTCAGTTTTCACCAGGGTTCTTACAACTTTTCTAGCATTTGGGAGGCTCTTTTTGGTTACGGATCTGCGAGTTGCGTGGACTCCGTCCGAGTAATCAGCATAGAGCAAACGCGAATAACTATTCATAAAAAAATTGCATGATTAGAACAAAATTATAGGTTCCAATAAGTGAAACTTACCCAGTGAAAGACTCTCCTCTGAGACCATTTTCGATGCTGTTGCAGCTGCCGTTGATACTCCTATAAGGCGAAGCCAACTGATGCCTGTGACAGGTCGATTTCATCATATCGCACGAGTTGTATAGGTCGGTGCCTTTGAATGTGAATCTGGACAACAGTTTGGCACAATCTCGGTCTTTCAATGGATGAGAGCTAGCAGTTGAAAGTCTGGAAATTTCAAATAGAAAACCTGATATTCGACTCCAGTGGCACTTTGATCGTTTCCAAAACGACATCGAAATAATTTTAGAGTCAAGAGACAAAGAAGAATGAACAATAAATAAATCTTATATAGGTACCTGGTGCAATAAGTATACAAAAGCTGACTGGTAGCTTTCAAAGCTATTAGCGCATCTTTGCCCCTCTCCAAAGCTTCTCTTTCTGGACCAAACGATATCAGCATCCCATGCGAAGGAGAACCATCAGCAACCTACAAAATTATTCAACCAATAAAAGACAATTAAAAAAAAAAAAACACAAATATTGACCTTTATTTCTGACCACAAAAGATTGTTTTCCAGTCTCTCCATCAATTCGACCATCGATGCGGCAAAAGCGACTGTCCGGTTCAGATCGTGACGGGTGATTTGGTCCAAAATGTCCGCGACTGGTTTGTCCGGCATCGGATCGTCCAGGACGTTGTTGTGGTGGACTCCGTCACCTGCGGACAGACTCGGCAAGTCAAGCAAAAGTTGGCCTACCAGATTTAGGCCCGAGAAAAAATCGCATTTTGTCATTGTCTGTTATAACTCTATTGGCTCAATGAGCGCCCATAAAAATAGCTTCTTATCAAAAATGTGTACAGTGTGTTACAATTTTTAATGTTTTCCAAATTTTGACTTTTCCAATCGACAGAGTGGGTCTTTGTCAGTTGAGTAAAAAGCCTTGGATATTAACTTTTCCCTAACAAGCCTTCCAAATTGCAAAAGCGGAAGATCCCTGACACATTTAGGAAGACTGTTGAAATTTACAGCCAAAAAATTTGGTCCACTCTGACACTTCTTCAGTCTGAAGTATGGAGTAACCAGGTCGTCTCAGTTTCGTGTGTTATAAGTATGGAAGTCGCTGTTTGTATCATAATTATGCAAGTTCACTTTGGCAAAAAGAACATTCTCATAAATGAAAATCGATGGAAATGTCATAATACTCAGATTTACAGAGGCATGTCGACAATGTGCCCTGTATGACAACCTAGCAATAATTCTTACAGCTCTCCTTTGTAAGGCAAAAATCCTACCCGCGTCTGCAGCCCCTCCCCAAAACATTATGCCATAAGACAGCAATGAATGGCAGAGAGCAAAGTATGTCGCCCTGAGAAACACCGCCAGCCAGACCCCTCAGCATAAATATGTTTCTGCTGACTTTAGTTGCCAGTTCTCCGATATGGAGGTCCCATTTCAAGATGGGGTCCAACGTGATTCCCAGAAACCTTACTCTAATTCACCGTCTGAAGGTCTGTCTCACAGTCTCTCAAGGAAAATATTATTCTGCTGGTTTTATCCTCATTCAAAATTAAGCTATTTTTCTCAAACCAGTCCCTGACCGCCGACTGTCTCCCGTGTTCTCCCAGAGATCTTCTCATAATTTTTGAATCTCATATACTAATAGTGGTATCATCAGCAAAGAGGCAGAAGTCAACAGTGTTAAAGCATTCAGGTAAGTTGTTGACATATACCAAAAATAACAGCGGACCCAAAACAGAGCCTTGTGGGACGCCTACCGCTAACCTCATACCCTCCGACACATAGGCGCCGGAACCATGGGGGCAATGGGGGCTTGAGCCCCCGTAGTGAATTTGCTATGGCGGCGGAGTCTCCATAGTGATTTTGGTATCGTATGTAGTGGTTGTAGTGAGCAGGTACAAAAATATTGAGTTCCTGATCCTAATATTCCTAACTATTTATTTTTATGTCAAACTTGTGTGTTTTATGTTTTTTTGTTTTTGCTATACCAACTTTGATAAACAGTTTGAATATTTTTCTATTTAGTCTAGTATAGTAAATTTTAGGGGCCTTAATACAAGAAGCTTATAGATGACACGATATCCATACCCCAACATAACGGATCTCTTGAACAAACTGAGACGCTGCCAGTATTTCACCACCTTAGATTTAGCTATCAGCTTCCACCAGATCCAAATGCATGAAAACGACATCGAAACAACCGCATTCAGTACAGAAAACGGGCATTATGGATTCTTGCGCATGCCATTTGGTTTGAAGAACGCGCCGGCTACATTCCAAAGATGATATTCTATATCCCAATATATTGAGCAACTTTAACACCGAAAGATATAGCATCGTATTAATAATAGTTTTTCAATATACAAGGGAGAAAAGTATTAGATTTTAGAGTGAGATGTGGTCAAGGTGGCCAAAGAGTGCTGGGAATGCTGGAGGTGGAACAGGGGAAATGGTTATCTTGCGTTCTCTATCCAACCTTAGAGTTTTTCTAGATTCTATTGCATTAAAATTGGCCTGTTGTTGACCTGACAAACCTGTATATCGGTAGTTCATTTTTTGGCCATATGCTATTAGCTGATTTATAAGTTTGTTTTGGGCCATAAGTTGAGTTTTTTTCAATTTGTTTTAAATGAAAGCCAGGCATCATAGCGAGGGAATGTGTTGATTTCAATCCATTTGCTGAAGAAATCTGTATATCAAAATTGTCTACTACCGTTTGAATCAGACAATCAGGCTTTAAGCTATTTTCAAACCGTAGTTAAAGTTTGCTGATTACATGTTACGGCAAACTGTAGTTGCTACTGAGGATTTGAACCTCATTACTGCGTCATGGCTACAACAAATTCCAAAGCCATACAGAAAATCAATAAGTTGTCTTGATGAATAGGCGTGATGAAGTGTTCCCAAGAGACACTTGTAGTTATATACGTTTTTTCAATAAGTCCTTGGATTATTTCCTTCCTGTTTACATGATGTACCAATACACTGGCCTTTTTTACCTAGTTTATTATGGAAAATGTATATACAGACCGGACAAACCTACTAGACACATAGGGAGTAATAAGTCGAATTGGCTTGTAGCCGGTTAAGGCGAAACGAATCGGCATTTGCCCCCTTACCCCAAAGGCCTTCAAATTTTATTAATAATTCAAAATGGAAAATAAATCAAATACATACATTATAATATATGTAACGTTCTACTATAAATTCTCATTAAAATTTGTTAAAATAGCCGCATTTCCGCTTGCCCCCATCATTAGAAGTTCCAAAAATACCGTAAAAAGACCCAAAAATTTCGCGGCTGCGGCGCTTTTCTTCCTGCAGCGCTTGCGGCGAAACTACTACTGCTGCAAGGATCATTTTCTGCAAATTTGCCCCTTCCCCCACCCCAAGACAAAATCTTGACTACGCCAATGATGCTGTCGAAGCCGTGTATAGCCGAGCTGCCGAAGATACACGAATTTCAATAATATCAAGGACCTGCAGGGACGATCAAAGATCCAGCGTGGGGAAATGGGTATCTATAAACTAGTCCCTATTTAAGTCTATGTGTCTAGTAGCCTAGTCCTGTCTGTCTAATTAATTCTTATTGTATTAATTTTTGGAGCCCTAGCCCCCATAATAGTTTTGAAATTCCGGCGCTTATGCTCCAACAACACACCATTAACTTGTACTTCACTTTCTGAGATCTATTAGCAGGATATGATTTCATCAGTTGGAGACTATAGAATATCAGAATCAAAGTTGTAAGATTCAAGTTTTTTTGCTAGGAGAACATGCGAGACACAGTCAAACGCTTTGCTCAAGTCGCAGAAGACGGTACTGGTGTATTCCATATTTTCAAAAGCATCCAGCAGACGCGTAGTGAAACTCAACAAACCCGAGACCTTGCTGTGGCCCCTCCTGAAATCATGCTGTGCCCCTGTGAAAAGGTTGTTATTTTCGAAATATTGAACTATATGGACTACAATCCATTTCTCAAAGATCTTGGACAACACTGGAAGCAGGGAAATGGGTCGGTAATTTCCAACCTCTTCTATATCCCCCTGCTCTTATATATTGGCACAACTAGGGTCTGCTTCAACGGCTTTAGTGTTTGCAACAAAACGTGGACGTGACGTCATATTCGCGTGTGAAATCCAACAGATTCTGCTTTTGTGTATGTATGTACAAAGCTTTGTTTGGTTCAAAACCAAAGCCATGTTTCGTTTCACCTATTTGAGTCAACCCGTATTTAAGTGAGAGTCGCAGGATTTTTTACTCGTCTACGGTATCCGAGCGGTTGTGACATCAGGCTTCCACGGTTATTTGCAAATATCTCAAAAACCGTTAGTGCGCGTTCACATTGACACCGCTCGAGCGGTGAGCGTTGCGCGATGCCACTGTAGTAATGCCCAAAAATAATTTTAACATTATATTTCAAACGAAAATGTACACAATGGAACGGCGCGTCCCACGGTGTTAACATGTTCATTTGAAATATATCGTTAAAATTATTTTTGGGCATCGCTACAGCGGCATCGCGCAACGCTCACCGCTCGAGCGGTGTCAATGTGAATGCGCACTTAGGCAAAAAATGGTGCGGCTTGAAATATTATTCTTAGAATTTGGTATACAGAAATTTTGATTTTTGGTTCACATTACACCCCTTCTGAAGGATAGGTGGTCTGTGTAAACTCCTATAATTTTTTCTGCATGGGCCCCCCCCCCCCCAGACAAAATTTCTGGCTGCGCCACTGCCTCAACATAAAAAACAGGACGGAAAGAAAACCCGGGTAATTTTTCACCAATTTACGGACGGGACTTTTCACATTATCTTCTCAACCAGGTGAAGTGAAAACTACTTTTACACACGATGGACTCATTTTGGGGCACCTTACTAGAGTTCCAAATGGGTCCGGGTCCAAAGGTGGTTTATGGGGATAAAACAAAATAATTGGGAATTCAGAAATATCAATTTTTCACAGAATTACCTACGTGTCTTGCGACATTTTCTTCACAACCAGAGATGTATTGGAACTTGTGCCTGTAGGCTCCACAGGGCACTTTACTTGACTTGCAATTTGCAAATGGACCCAAGGGTGGTTTTAAGGGGTAAAACAAAAAAATTGAAAAACTAGAAATATAAATTTTTCCCAGAATTACTTGTCTTGCAACATTTTGTTCACAACCAAATGTATTAGAAACTGTGTCTAGACACCATAGGCACATTTCAATGCATCTTACTCTACTTGCAAATAGGTCCAAGGGTGGTTTTAGGTGGTAATGCAAAATAATTGGGAATTAAGAAATATCAATTTTTCCCAGAATTACTTGTCTCGCGACATTTTCTTTACAACCAAATGTATTAAAAACTGTGCCTAGGCACCATAGGCACATGTCAATGCATCTTACTTGACTTGCAAATCGGTGCAAGGGTGGTTTTAGGGGGTGGAACAAAAAAATTGAAAAACTGGAAATATTAATTTTTCCCAGAATTACGTGTCTTGTGACATTTTCGTCACAACCAGATGTATTGGAAACTTTGCCTAGGCTCCTTAGGCACATTTCAGAGCACCTTACTTGACTTGCAAATGGGTTCAAGGGTGGTTTTAGGAGGTAAAACAGGAAAATTGAAAAACTACAAATATCAATTTTTCCGAGAATTACTATGGTGCCGAGGCACAGTTCCCAATATATTTGGTTGTGAAGAAAACGTTGCAAGACACGTTATTCTGGGAAAAATTGATATTTCCAGTTTTTCAATTTTTTTGTTATGCCTCTTAAAACCACCCTTGGACCCATTTGCAAGTCAGGAAATCTACCTATGGTGCTTAGGCATAATTTTCAATACATCTGGTTTTGAAGAAAATGTCGCAATAAGACACGTAATTTAAGGAAAAGGTTATAATTCCAGTTTTTCAATTTTTCTGTTTAACCCTCATAAACCACCCTTGGACCCATCTGGAATTCAAGTATGGTGCCATGAAATGTGCCTATGGTGCCTAAGCACAGTTTTCAATACATTTGGGTCGCAAGACCAGTAATTCTGGGTAAAATTGATATTTCTAGTTTAACAATTTTCTTGTTTTACCCCCTAAAACCACCCTTGGACCCACTTGCAAATCAAGTAAGGTGCCCTGAAAAGTACCTAGGCACAATTTCTAATACATTTGGTTCTGAAGAAAATGTCGTAAGACACATTATACTGGGAAAAATTGATATTTACAATTTTTCAATTTTTTTGTTTTACCCCCAAAAACTATATCCTTGGACCCATTTGCAAGTCAAGTAAGGTGCCCTGAAATGTGCCTATGGTGCCTAGGCACAGTTTCGAATATATTTGGTCATGAAGAAAATGTCGTAAGGCACCATATTCTGGGAAAAATTGATGTTTCCAGTTTTTCGATGTTTTTGTTTCACCTCCTAAAACCACCCTTGGACCCATTTGCAAGTCGAATAAGATGCATTGAATTGTGCCTATGGTGCCTAGGCACAGTTTCCAGTACATTTGGTTGTGAAGAAAATGTCGCAAGATACGTAATTCTGGGCAAAATTGATATTTCTAGTTTTTCAATTTTCTCGTTAATTGTACCCTCTAAAACCACCCTTGGACCCATTTGCATTGCAAGTCCAGTAAGGTGTCGTGAAATCCCTGGTAACAGATTGCAATACATTTGGTTTTGAAGAAAATGTCGCAATAAGACACGTAATTTTGGGAAAAGGGTATATATTTCCAGTTTTTTGTTTTACCTCCAGAAACCACCCTTGGACCCATTTTGAACTCAAGTAAGGTGTCTCAAAACGATTACATCGTATGTAAAAGCAGTTTTCACTTCACCTGGTTGAGAAGATAATGTGGAAAGTCCCGTCCTTAAGTTGATAAAAAATTGATATTTCAATTATTTTAATTCTTAATTTACCTTCAAAAACATGCATTGGATCCATTCGCAGTATATTCTTGTTCACCTTTATTAACTGGATTAATTTTATCATATCTATAGAAATTGTACATATGTATAATATCTAAAAATAAAACATAAACGACGCCACTGATTGTTCGGGTAGACTCGGGAGTCGGGAGTCAGGCTGCTAACTTTTGGCTGCCAAGTTCACGACAGTCCTTTTTAATTGTTATAAGTTCATAGTCCCCAGTACATCGACCTTAAAATTTTGTAACTCATGTACACGCCCAACTTCCTGAGCGGCTTCATAACACCAAGTCGGATAATAATTTTCATGTCTCCACCCTGGGCGATGGGACATTGCTGCGCTAGCTCTTCGTGAAGTTGTCGTTCTGACGTCCCTAAGGAAGTTGATACATGTACGTGTAGTTTCAATGCTAATCGACTGTTTTTTACATTACATTAACGATATCACATTTGTCGGACAAAAACCATGTGGCTTTGGGGAAGGTCCGACACCCCCAACATGTCGCTGTGGCGTCCCTAAGGAAGTTGATACATGTACGTGTAGTTTTAATGCCAATCGACTGTTGTTTGTATTACATTAACGATATCATATATGTCGGACAAAAAGCACGTGGCTTCGGGGGAGTCCGACGCTCTCAACATGTCGCTGTGGCGTCCCTAAGGAAGTTGATACATGTACGTGTGTTTTTAATACCAATCGACAGTTTTTTACATTACATTAACGATATCACATTTGTCGGACAAGAAATTTGAGTCAATCAATGAAAAAATTGAAATTAGTTTGCCTTAACGCAACGTGCATATTAGTCAGTTTATTATTCACCACCCAAAGTTGTTACTATTTGTAAAGTGAGCTTTGGGTGAACCCAAAATCCATGACGATATCATTTTTGACATTTCTCCGCTCACGTCCACTGGAATGATCATTAAAGAACTTAGATTCATAATCTTTATGTGTAGACATATTTGCAAAATTCTTATCAGGAAGAATAATTGATACATTTAAAATTCTTAGATTAATGTGGAAGGACATTTGTTACGAGTCTTAAGCTACATGGAGTAGTTGTTGAAATTAGTTTGCCTTAACGCAACGTGCATATTAGTAAATTAGTACCTGTGTCATATTCCCTGATCTGTTTTTTTGATAGTTCTCCGAGTATTTACGGAAATTATTCTGTAAACGGTCATTCAAAACCACGTGTGTGAGAAAGAATGGATATTCAGTCGTGTTTTTTGTGCGATCTCAGGAGTGAAGATTCTGAATTTCGGCAGAAATTGATCAAAAGGACTATTGTTGTCCGACTGACTTTAATACTGATTTTATTTGTCCGACATTTACTACACATGTTTTAAAATTACATTGTTATTCATAATTATTTTTGTCGGACATACATGTATCAATTTCCTTAGGGTCGCCACAGCGACATTTTGGGGGCGTCGGACCCCCCCAAAGCCACGTGATTTTTGTCCGACCTATGTGATATCAATAATGTAACATAGAAAACAGTTGATTGGCATCAAAACCACACGTACATGTATCAACTTCCTCAGGGACGCCACAGCGACATGTTAAGGGCCTCGATTTGGCATTGAAACTACACGTACATGTATCAACTTCCTTAGGGACGTCAGAACGACAACTTCACGAAGAGCTAGCGCGGCAATGTCCCATCGCCCAGGGTGGAGATATGAAAAATATTGTCCGGCTTGGTGTTATGAAGCCGCTCAGGAAGTTTGGCGTGTACATGAGTTACAAAATTTTAGGGTCGATGTACTCGGGACTATCAGGACTATCACTTTCAAGGGTAATTTTCTCTTATATAGATTGCGCTGTTTCAGCATGGTTTCAGTGGGGGCCGATTTATAAACATCATTATAGAAACCCACCCATTCCCTAAATTCCCTTTAGGTAGTTGTTAAACCATGAGCAACAATTATTATTATTAACATTTTTAGCTTTATATATTTTTTCAGGGTAGGCAGCTTCAAAAGATTTAGCTAACTTACTCAAGAACATTGACATTGTGCTGTCAAGTGAAAGAGATTCATCATCAACGAACTTCCAACAGATTCTCTCGACCAGTTCAAAAAAAAAAAATTAGCACAGATTTATAGAGAATTTAATTCTCTTTCTAATAGTATATAATTTATCTCGATTATTTCAAATTTTAATGGAAATATTGGCAGTTTTTCTTAACCTTGTCACGATTCAAAAAAAATATTCAATAGGTAGGTAGGTACTAAAAAATGAAATTTACTTTTTGTTCTTTAAATTGGTCATTTGGAAAGGTTGGAAGGTTTTTTTTTTGACTTATTTAGACCCGCTCTATCGATTGGAAAAGTTAAAATTTGGAAAATATAAAAAATAAAAATTTGGATTTTTTTGTAAAGGTAGGCACACTCTTTGGATTATTATTTTAAAATCTTTGAGCTATAATATCTTGAAATCCCTGGGAGATATTGAATCAAATTTTTCAGGAATTATAGCTCTTATTAAGCGCTAAAAAACCTGTATTGGAAAATATTTTCAAGTATATTATTGTTTTTGAGAAAATTGAATTTGAGGTTTTTGATTAAATTTTGACTAAAATTCAAATTTGAGGCTCTATTACTCAAAAATTATTTGAGCTATCAAACTCGATCTTGCACAGATTAATAGAGAATTTAATGTTCTTCCTAATAGTCTATAATTTGTTTTGATTTCTCCAAAATTCAATGGAAATATTGACAAGTTTGATAGCTCGAATACTTTCTAAGCAATTGAGCCGCAGCTCACGAATTTATAACACCCTGTATAAGTCGGACACGATTTGAAAATAGATTCAATTTGCATTATTTGGCACATATCCGAGTAGTGCGCGGTTAGAACGCAAAATAATTTCATTATTTTTAGATCAATCAGCGACGGATTAAAGTGAATTTTATGTTTTCAGCTCCAATACAATAAAATTTGAAGCCTTTACAAAATCCTTAATTATGTCAAATTTAAGTATTTCAGATTTAAAAAAAATTATATTGTATAGTATAGGACGAACATTGGTTTGTGATAATGTATATAGATTAGAGCCAGAGGTCAAACACAGACTTTGATAAAATGCCAAAGAATTTGAATGAAAAAGAAACTTTTTTTTTCTTAATTTTTGAATTTATCTCCCTTTTATCATTGTTTAACCCAGTATGAACTATGAAGATATAATGAGTAATGTCCAAGGATTTGATTAAAACTGAAAGAGCATGCACTAAAAAAACAAATTCTTGGGCATTTTTAATTAGCTACCCAAAAAATACCTCTGAAAGCAATTTTTTTATGTAAATAACCAATCAAACAATTTTTCTCTTACCTCGACGGGTTAGCAATTAGTTCGATTTTGTTTCAAACAACCATATATCGTTTAAAAATTACTACAGATTGTTCTGTGTTTTACTTTATACAGCCTGAAAGAAAGAGGTTGTAGAAAGGGAAAATACACTCTAATCCAAAAGAGTTAGAGCACAAATAAATCCTCAGGAGCTTTGTATGTAATAAAATATTCTATGTTAAATTGTAGCTCTATTTTGTTGAATTATTCCAAAAACTCTTACCTTCAAATGATAATTGCATGTACTGTGAGGCTGCATCCGAAAAGATGCCCGAATGGATTGATAGCACCCACAAGAGGACTCCCAATAAAGGTATAGCTAGTTTTACGCTTCGGAATACCATTTTTGTGGCAAATCTGCAAAAAATATCAACTATAGAATACTCATTCATTGACTTTTTGTCAACCGACTAATGACTAATTAAAATGCCCATTAACAAAAAGTGTGCACCAGTTGTTATTGTGCAGTAAGCTGACATTGAAAATTTAAATATCCAATAAACAAACTTGATTTTTGTTTTTAATAAAGTATGCATAGGTACCTTTATACATAAATGATTTTTTGATTGTTATTGGCAAAACGACTTTCACATACTTACATACATTAAAAGCTTAAAAATAGTTAGTCAATATCTACTAATGCTATTATAAAGTACATAAGTTAATGTAATATTATGCTAATGCGTTTTCACCAAGGAAATCCTTTAAAGCAATACTGTAATAATTGTGTTTTATTATCAAATAAATGATTTTCTTTTTTCAACTTACACACACTAATCAAAGGTAATAATGAGTTCAAGTTCAATAAAAGTTATTCCACTTAAGACGCGGCACTGAACCAGTAAATGAAAAAGTCGTGGGACAAATCGACTTTTTCGTGCAACAATAACGGAACCGGCTAATTATAAACTGAACCGCGGGCTCAGCTCCTAACGATTTAAGTAAACTAAATGGATTTGGCGTCACGAGTCACTCTGTTCTATACGAGGCACGAATGGAAAGTCTTCTAGAAGTGAGAAAAATCGAGTGGGAGACACTTTTGCATCTAGGTTGAATAATGTTTAAAGTTGAGGCCTGAATTCATTAGAATAGAAAAATATGTTAAAATTACATTGGTGCGGAATTGCCACAGTGTCGATTCGGAAAAAGTACCTATAACTTTTATTTAGGAAAATGTGAAGTCATTTTCGGAAATTCAAATTCGGAAGAAGTACATTCAATTACGGAGAAAGTAATGTTATTTTTTAGAATAATTTGATCAAAAGTTGGACTTATGTTACACCACACCTTGAACATCCTGGACAACCCTGTCTTTTAACCCGTAAAGGCCTAGGTAGGAAATTGTCAGAACGACCTGCAAACAGGGGTTGCTTTGCGACGGGATAAGAAAATAACAAACCGGCCAATGATTGATTTTTTGTTGTTGTAAAATAGTCGAATTGTTCAGTAACCATATGAATGTAGTAGCGAAGTTCTTGGATTGAAAAAGCTGTGTATGCTAAAAAGTTACCTATTGTCCAGCAGTCCAGGAAGTAAAAAACTTATTCTCATCCCATCGATATGAACTTTGGACAAAAGTGTAATGCCTCGTCTTCAGAATCGTAAATTTCTTGCGGAAAATATAGAAATGGAGCTACACCAAACCAATCTTGAGTTCACCGTTCACCAACCAATAACAATCTGAAATGCTTTTGGCTAGATTAACTACCGGTAATCAACCTGTCGCACCGGCTCAAAATCAACTACCTTTGCAACCTGTCTATTGTCCATTGCGTTTTGATGGTTCCAAGAACTCTGATGTTAACGCCTTTTTAAACGGTTTTGAGGTTTACAAAGTATGTACTTTCGTATCGCATGACAACGCGCTCTGCTCAAGGGACTTCCCGTTGGATGGAGTCGCTGCTAGTTGGTTTGTAGGCGTAAATGTCAACTTTGGCGTAAAATCCACTATTAAATTTGTGGCAAGATGATGTGAATGTACTTTCAAGATCTACATTCGGACCGCAAAAACCGCCATATCGCGTATATAGGGAACTTTTTGGAACTGAACAAGACTCTAAAACCAAGACAGATATGTTTATTTGCAAGTGACTTTCTATTGCCAGATAATACTCTACCTGGAAATATTCAATTAGACATGGTTTATGTTCTGTTAAAATCGAAAATTAGAGAAAAAGGGCCACGTGATAAGGTGAACTGTTTCAACGAACTCAATCAGGGTTGGTGGAGGAAACATTTGAATATTCAAACGATATCGAACAAGTTTTGAGTGGTGATAGCGCTCCAAATAAAAAACTTTCGTTGTACAGTGGAAATCATTGCAATTGGCACACACTATGTAAATATCCCTCGTAATGTGTCAAATCTGACACAGAGTAATAGCAAAATGCTGCAGATTTATTGGTTAGAATTTTGACTTAATACAGGGGATTTTAAAGAGTGTCTGCCAATTGCAATAATTCCGACTGTACCTATTGTAAATACACTGGTCATACTAAAGAGGATTGTCAAAAAATTGACATTGAAACAAGGTAATTATATAAATGGAAGAACATTATTAGGAAATAGGGACGAGTCAACCTTAAATCCACGTTCGCTCCGACGTGACTTTCATGCTACAGTTGTGGAAAGCGGAAAGCAGGGTTATATACGGTCCACATTTCCTGTGTGTAGTAAGAATAAAGTTGCAACGTCATCAGTAGCTGAATTTGGTTACTTTTCAATGGACGAGCATTTCCAAATTAAACCACGACTTCGACTTTTGCTTGGAATAGGCATACGTTCGTGGTACAGCCATCATTGACACTGCCGCAAAACAGAGAGTAGCCAGCAAACAACTTTAGCAATTACTTGAAGATCATTGAAGTTCAACAAACAATCAATTCTGATGAAATTAGTTGATGGTGGTGCGAAACTAAATGAAGTGCTTGTTACACGGGTTAACGTCATTGTAGAAAGTCTTATCCCGACTACTTTCATCGTATTGCCAGAAGCACCAACTATCTTTATTAGGTATAGATTTTTTGCAAGGTGCAAAAATAACATTAAACATTCCTGATGCTTTGTGAAAATTTAATGTTGACCTAGAAGTTGAGTATGTATTAGATTTTGAAAGTTAATCGATTGCGTCTGCAGTGGAATTGTCTAGTTTTGAAGGTTTGCGAGAAAATGAAGGTATATATATATATATATATACAATGTTTAGTGCTTTAAAGGGGGTGTGCGCCAAAAATTAAAGTTTTAGTGTAAAAAAATCTAAGAATAACTGTTCAATCCTCGTTATTCTGAGATATACCGCTTTAATGTGTGGACGACGCTCTCGTGACGTCACGAGAACTTCGTCCAGCCGCGCTCCGCATTGTTAATTTGATTGTTCCCGGCACACGTGAGTGGTTTTTGTTTAGATTATTGCAGGTAACACAAGAAATACATATGTAAATTTAATTAACTCCACTTTCTCGTGCGTCGCTTGAGCTTTCGTGACGTCATAGGGTGAGATACGGTACCTTCATAGAGCCATATCTGCGGTATTATTTGTCATAGAGGGGTACGGATTTTACTGTTATTCTTAGATTTTTTTTCTCTTTTTTTTGAGATGAAGTCGTTTTTTTTGGCGCACACCCCCTTTAATCAAAGAAAATTAGGATATCTTCAAGCCGGGGGGAGACCCTACTCCCTATGCAGTTCATTATACATATAAAGACACTTGATCATCCGCCTATAGCTGTTCCACCGTACCGTTTATCTTCTGCACGTAAGCAATTACTGAAAACTGGAATTGACAAACTCTTGGAGGATCATATAATTGAAGAATGCGAGTGCCCATGGGCAGCCCCGCTGGTTATGGTACCCAAAGGTCCAGATGGTAAAAACGTGCGTGTTTGTGTGAACTATCAACGACTTAACGCAATTACAGTTAGTGACAAATACCCGCTACCTCGCATGGATGATCTTCTTCATTCGACTAAAAGAAAACTTTCCACATGACGTGTTTGGATTTGCGTTCCCCATATCACCATGAACCTGATCGTGTAAAACAACCTTTAGTACTCCTTTCGGGACTTGTTTTAACAGGATGCTGTTTGGACTGGAAAATGCACCTGGAACTTTTCAGCGCTTGATTGATCAGTTCCGACATAAACTCAGTAACGTATTAGTGCTAGCGTACCTAGACGATATCTGTGTGCTCTCCAGGACTTTTGAGGAACATATCCGAGGATTTGAAACTCGTGTTTTCACGTCTCCGCCAATTTACGAACCAAACGTGAAAATGATAATTTTTCTCGAAGCAATCAAGAGTCACTAAGTATAACGATCAAAGTTTGAACTAGTAATGGCTATTGAGAACTTTTTGAAAATATATGGGAGTCGATAATAATCAAAATTTAAACTATTTATTGGTTTTTGAATATTTTTAGTAGAAATATCTAGCGAATCAAGAGCCGGCAATAATTCAAATTTTGATTATTCCAGGCTCTTTATCCTTGGGTAAATTTTTAAAGCAATCAAGAGCCAGAAATCATCAAAATTTGTACTTATTATTACTGGTTATTGAGAACTGTTAGATAAAGAGATAGTCAGTAATGATAATAATCAAAATTTGGATTATTATTGGTTCTTGAGTGTTTCTAGTAGAAAAATGTAGCCAATCAAGAGCCGGTAATAGTTCAAATTTTGATTGTTATCGATTCTTGATCTTCGGAAAAATTTCCTCAATGCTGTCAAGGTTATTCAGAACCTATAAAAAATATATGAGAGTTGGTAAAATAATCAAAATTTTGACTTATATTGGTTCTAGAGCGCCTCTAGTAGAAATATCTAGCCAATCAAGAGCCGGTAATACTTAGTTCAAATTTTGATTATTATCGGCTCTTGATCTTTGGATAATTTTTCTCAAAGCAATCAAGAGCCAGTAATAATCAAAATTTGGTCTTATTATTACTGGCTATTGAGAACTTTTAGATGAGAGTCGGTAATAATCAAAATTTGGACTATTATTAATTCTTGAGCGCCTCTTTGCAGAAATATCTAGCCAATCAAGTGCCGGTAATAGTTAAAATTTTTCCAAGTAGTTCTTTCATAAAGACAGAGGAAAAATTTGCTATTGTAAAAAATCGCAGTTTTTAAGTAATTCCTAACTAATAACTCAATCTTCTTGAAGTTTACCTTGAATATTTCACTATAAACCTTTAGAAAATAGTTCAAGTAGTTTTTCGGGAATATTATTGTTAAGATTTTCAGTAGCAAAAAATGTTCCCACAGGATAATTACAATGAAAACATTAACCCATTACTATCTGACTATAAAATCGAGATGTTAGTTCAAGGTTGTCACCGCTTTAATTATGCAAATGAGGCTGTGAATCTGAATATAAAATCGATATGTTATTTATGTTAGTTAGTTCAAGGTTGTCACCGCTTTTGCATACATTAAGTGCTGACTCATAGATAGGCAATTACTTATACATAATTGAAGTCGGGTAAGTGTTTGGAAGAAGTCCGGAGAGGTCAGGAAAGGGCTGGATAAGGTCTGGAGAAATCTAGACAAGTCTGGATAAAGTCTGGACAAGGCTGGATAAAGTCTAGCCAAGTCTGGAAAAGTTTGGATAAGCTTGGATAAAGTCTGGAAAAGCCAGAAAATTTCTGGAAACGTCTGGAAAAGGCTCTATTAGGTCTGGAGAAATCTAGACAAGTCTGGATAAAGTCTGGAAAAATCTACCCAAGTCTGGATAAAGTCTGGAAAAGCCTGGAAATTTCTGGAAACGTCGGAAAAAGGCTGGATAAGGTCTGAAGAAGTTCAGACAAGTCTGGATAAGGTCTGGAAAAGTGTATTTGAAGTCGGGAAAGTGTTTGGAAGAAGTCCGGAGAGGTCAAAGGGCTGGATAAGGTCTGGAGAAATCTAAGACAAGTCTGGATAAGTCTGGATAAAGTCTAGCTAAGCCTGGAAAAGTCTGGATAAGTTTGGAT